GTAATCCAGTGAAAGTGGGTAAGCTTATACTATTATGATTGGTAGTCAAATCAATTCTTATAAAAATCTAATCTTTTTTTAAAACCATTAAAATTAATGATTTCAATCCAATATTCAGAAACCTATTACTACTAAATCTTTACAGAATAAAAAATACAGAATAGATGCAATGGACCTTTTGTCCTTCAGAAGTAATATTTCAAGTTTTGTAGTGCATTATTATAGCTTTGTTTTCTTTTATCTGATGTATAGTAAAACAAAGCAAAACAAGTAGGAGGTTTTATTTAATTCTATAGGGCTTCTGCAATATTTCCAATTTGTGTACTTGCTTGTAGAATAGATTTACTACTAAGAAATTATTTGCCTTTGAATGTTATTTTAAAAACTCTTAAATTTATATTGTGTTCTATAGTCTGAAGCATTTTCTTAAGTTCTTGTCATAAAACTAACAAAATGCATTCCTTTGTGATGTCAGTGCTGAGTATTCTTAGAATAACTACTTGTTGCCATTTACCAGGCTGTCCATATTGTTGTATGAAAGTAAGTGGAGACTATTCTAATCTTTGCCCTTCTATTTAATCTAATAGGATAAAGTCTGCCCAATCCTTAGAACCCCTGAAAAAAATATTTGTCCTACATACATTTTTTTGGCCTCCTAAAAGGGCTGTTATAGCCAGGATAGGGTTGGTGATGAGTCCCAATTCCGACAAAATGACCTGCAAAAGCAACCACCTTGAACAATCAAACTCCCCTTCACCTGCCTTTACACAATGGAGGGGTTTCTAACAAGTGGGGTTGTGAAAGGTGAGTGTCTGATTTCCTCTAAAAGAAATCAGACCATGCAGGGCAGGCAGGGTTTTTCATCCTTGTCAGGAAGTCACCTGTGACAAGGAAACTCAAAACTGGGGTGCCCCACCCCTCAAAACAATTATTCTTAGATGATAGTGGCAAATGGATGTTGTAGTTGGATGCTACCAGCATTATTGTCCATAATCATTCATGGTGACATGGCAATGAGAGAACCAATGCATTTTCACCAGATAATTCTAGAGGTGCATTCAATACGATGTGACTGGATTCCGATCCGATTACATTGGCCAAGCAGGTATTCGCCATTGAACTTTCAGTGTGTTGTACCATGAAAACAGGTTACTTCCAGATAATGCAAAATTATTCTCATTGTATAAGTGAGATGGGATTGGTTTGGGTGAGTCCAGATGGAATTGTGGTTATTGAGGAAGGATACATGCTGACCTAGAGTGATGACAGAATAAGACATCATGGGGTAGCACTGCTGATTAGGAAGCAGGTCGTCCCATATTCATATAGCCTACAAACTAGTCCTCAGCAGGATGATGACCCTCTGATTGGCAGCTCACCCATATAATGTAACATTTTCCAGTGCTATATCCCAACTAGTGACTGAGGATGAAGAGGTTGAGAAATACTATGGCTACAGCAAGAAGGAGTTACAGCTGTTAACCACAGAGACATCTTTTGTACAGGGTCACTGGAACACCTGTATTAGTCTTAAGTTATTCAGCATGTGACAGCTGTGTTGGGAAATTTGGGTATGGCTAGACAAACAGCAGAGGGTTGTGATTTTAGGCAATTTGTGTCTGAGAATGACTTAGTATTAGTTTGTGCTTGAACAAAGTATTCATTATCAAGTGATGGACTTGAACATTGCCTGATTTGCAGACTCAGAGCCAGACAGACTTCATAATGGTCTTGAAAAGGTGGTGCTCTGGTATGACTGGAAGTCAATCCTTCAAGAAGGTCAACATAGGATCTGATCATAGTTAGTAATTAGCCAACATAAAAATCAAACTGTAAAACAAGAAATGACTGGCAAGTACTTTCAGACTCTGTTATCTCAGTGACCAACTGAGAGTCTGTGAAATGCAAATGGAATTGAAGATGATGATTGAACAAAGGCTGCAAGCTACTGACCTCTTCACAGGTAGCCTAGATTAAATAGAGCACATCTCTCTTTCTGCATTACAGAGACTGTGGATGAACTCCTGGGGAAACAGATCTAAATAAAAAGAAAAGGAGTTCTTGTGGCACCTTAGAGACTAACCAATTTATTTGAGCATGAGCTTTCGTGAGCTACAGCAAGTGAGCTGTAGCTCAAGAAAGCTCATGCTCAAATAAATTGGTTAGTCTCTAAGGTGCCACAAGAACTCCTTTTCTTTTTGCGAATACAGACTAACACGGCTGTTCCTCTGAAACAGATCTAAATAAGACTCCTTTCTTCATGGAGAAGATTGTGTTATCACAATCTTGGTGTAGGTATTGCCAATACTGTATTGTATAATATGAGTGAAACTAATTCTAAATTGGAAATGAAAGGGGCAGAGAAGATCTCTGTGAGAAGCTCAGCTTATCCCAATCAACCTCTTCCTACAATTGAAGTTGAACATGTGATATGGACACTGAAAAGCCATAAAACCCCTGGAGTGGATAATATACAATCAGAACTAATAAAAGTGATAGCCACTCTTCAGGCTTCATAAGCTTGTCAATGAGACTTGTAAGTCTGGAAGATGGTCAAGATTTGGACATAGTACCTGATGGTTCCTGCCCTTAAAAAAGAGGGATGTGGCTGTTTGTGGAAATTACCTCACAACCTCATTATTGATACATTCTAGCAAAACACTACTATACATTTTCCTGAAGAGAATTGTACTCAAGATAGAGAACTTGACTAAAGTTTTTTCTGACTAAAGAAAAGCTGGATTTAGACCCAAAAGATGTACAGTGGTGCAAATACTCAATATGCATATGTTATGTGAGACAGTGCTGGAGAATGATGGGAAGGTGGTCCATGTCTGTGTGGATTTTACTAAGGTATTCGACAGCATATGACACTACTCTTCAGGCAATCCTGTGATAGGTTGGAGTTGGTGAAAATGTAATAAGGCTGATGTCTTGTGTCTGTGGGGCATGAGCAGAGTCGTGCATTTGATTTCAGGATAGGTGTCAGGGCTGAATGCTACAATCGGCTCACTTCAACTGTTATCCTGAAGAAATCTTATAAGAGCCACTGATGGAAACCTATATGAAGATGTACTCATCAGTGGATAAAAAAATAGCCCTCTGTGCTTTCATGATATTGACCTGATTTTGGATCATCTCCAGATGAGGTGCAAAAACTGCTAAAAGGAGTAGTGATGGAAGCAGAGAAGTCAGATGTAAAAGTTTCACATGAAAAGACACAGACAATGATATCTAAATTTGTTGAAAAGGCAGAATCCTGGTCAAATCTGAGGAGGCATTGTGGTATGTTAAGTATGTCAAATACCAGGCTGGGTAGCATGACTTCAAGGGACTTTAAAATCTGAAATGGAATTGACTTGAGATTCCTGCTCTAGAGCCATTCAACCACATTTGGAGAAACAAAGTATAAATGAAAATGTAAAGTAATTGATGCAATCTCTTGTCTTCATCTTCCTATAAGTATGTAAGTTATTGATGGTAAGGAAACAGGACATAGAGGCTTCTATCTTTGAATTGAAATGCTACAGTTGACTACTGAGTGTTAGCTAGACCTTGCACATGACTAATGAGGTAATCATCTGAATTTATAGCATAATGGCAACAATACCTGATATCGTAAAGATGATGAGATGAAGAAAACTTGTTTGCAGGACATGTGGGTCAGATGAACAGAGGAAGATTGCTGCAGTAAGTCTTTTTTGCAGGGATTGATGGCAGGTGCTAGAGGTTACCCAGGGGGAGTGTAGATCAGCAATGTGGCTGACCAGCCATGATGCAGTATGACACACACTTCTCAAAGTTGTGTGAAGACCGCAGAATGAGGAAGGAAGATTGCTGGCTAACTAATCCCCTGTGTTTGCTGTTCATTGTAATGAGACTTTATGATGATTTGCACTACATGAATAACAAATATTTGACATTCGTAGTCTGTGGGGGGGGGAAATAAACCATGTACGCTACACAAGTAAAGTTTGTGTAGTTCAGACTGAAGTCTATTGTACAGACACATTGTCTCATGGACTCAGGGTTGCAGATAAGCAGCAACAGCAGGTCTCAGACTAGGACATTCATTTCCTTTTTACAACCCATCGACACAGTTTACCCTCAGGTCTCAACTCCTCCAGACTGTATTAATTAAATACCAAATCCTCAGCCCAGCATCAAGTCTGACTATGTTGGACTGGGCATTGAAGATGAAAAGGCAAAGAACAGACCAAACCTGCAGATTGGACACACAAGCCCTGGTGGCTAGGAGAGACCAAAACCACACCACATTTTCTAATCTCATAATCTTTAGACTTTGATTTTTGAACTTTTGGGGTTGGCAATCTGCTTACCCCTACCCCAGTCAACTCAGGACCTCCTCTACTACCTCCCGACAAGTTGTCCTACAGAGAACCCCTTCATAGCTAAACTCTGCACTGCTTGGCGTATGCGTGCCATCTAGATAATCCCCCTAAAATCCATTACCCTATCTTGTACATACCTGTCCCAATGATTGAGGAAAATTCACAGTTGCAGAGGTGAGGTTTGGTTTACTGCTAAGTCATAGGATATGCCCACTGCATCAGTCGTTGTTCCTTAAATATAAATTTCATACCAAGTGGAATAATAGGTTAAATTTTGCCCCTCTTGGCCTTAATAGCAGTTCTGCTTCTGACTGCAGTAGGGCCAGACTTTCACCTATTGCCTCTAACTTTTCTGCAGGGATTTCTACACTTGAGGCTACCTCTGATATTAGCTATAGTAGACCTCCTAAAATGTCTAATAAATTTCTCCATTACAACAGTTAACTATGATACCTAATTTTTACTTCCATGAACTGTTGCTTGGGTTATGCTCGAAAATGCATATAAAACCAGTGTTGCCCCTTTGGTCTAAGTGGTTAGCCAGTATTTGCAGCTTTGCAGGATTGTTTCCATTGGAAGGAGAAATGGATGATATGAGTCAGGTATAACATTTGGTGCAATTCTGTTTATTTACAAAGAATGTACACAGTCCTGTTGCTCTGAAAGTGGTAGGAACAAGCAGCCCCTTGTTGGAGCTTCATTGTAACACATATCAGAAGCCTGGAAGGAATTCTTGGAGTCCATTCTTATCCTCCAGGAAATAGAACTGGCTATAAAAGAAACAAAGCATGGTAAATCATCAGACAGTGATAGATTTTCAATTGAGTTTTAAACAAAAAAATGTCTTAGTATGTTCAAAGGAGACTGTGAGAGATTTGTTCTGAGGCTAAAATGAGTGGCCTCTTCATACCTCCCACAATGCAAGAGGTAATTATATCCAAGCCAGGGAAAGACCCTGCTAACCATAAAAGTTTCAGGCACGTTTCACTGATAAATTTGGCAAGAACCTTCACATCTCAAGTTCTGCGGGAGAGGGGGAAGAGAAGAGGGAGTTGTTAATCAAATTATATATAAATCAGGTCAGAGTTATTAAATCTTGGCAAGGGACCGACAACCTCGGGGTAATTCATCGCTACAATTGCAATTTCACAACACTGGAAATAAACTTTTGATAGAATTATCACTAAGTGCTGCAAAAGTCTTCAATAAAGTTGCATCTCTTTACAGTTCTTGAAAGAATGGGAATCAGTGATCACTTTATCAACTGGCTTAAACTGCTTTACATTAACCCTACTCCAAGGAGATCACTAATAACTATATTTCAGACCCATTCTCATTAGAAAGAGGAACAAGAGGGCTGCTTGCTATTCCCTCCCTCATGTTCTCTTACACCGTATTGGAGCTGCTGGCATGTGCAATTCAGGGGTGTGCAGGTATAACAGCTATTAAGCTTGGTCATATAGAACAAATACTTGTTCTATATAACTAATACACTGATTCTTCTTTCTAGCCCACAAAGGTTTACTCTTCAATTATTAATTAAAAAGACTAACTGAAACAAATCTGAGGTGTTATGGCTAATTAAATTCCCATACTAGCTCTTAGTCAGTGGGATTTCTAATGTCAGCTGGTGGCAGTAAAATATCCAGAAATACTAATCTCTGGAGATTTAGAGGAAATAGTTAAAATCAGTTTTGACCTAATTATCACAAGTAGCTTCCCATTCACCCAGGTCTTTGGTGATATCTCCCTTGCCCGCTGCATTAAAAACAAACCTGGTAAAAAGTAACATGCTACACAGATAAACAGACGTGCTCAAACTCCCACTCCAAATACCCAAACAATATTTTCAGAAAATCAATGAGATCCCATAAACATTTTTAGGGGAACTGGGAACCACCTGTCATCTCCTTCAAAAGACTTCAGCTAGTAGTTGAATTGGGGAATTTAGAGTCTCAAATCTGAACCAGTACCATAATGCCCTTTATAATAAGCCAGGCCATGCAATGGGCATATGCTATCACAAATAATATGCCTACATGTATGAAATTAAGGGTGTGGCCTTCACCTGTATGGGCCAGGGGCCTGGAGCTGGCTGGCTCTGCAAAATTAGCTCTGCTGGCCACACCTAGGATGGGGGTAGGTTTTTATTAATAAAAACAGCTGGGTATTGAGGAGCTAATTCTCTTATAAAAAGTAGTAGGATGCTGTAGAGAAGTGGCAGGGGGTGTATGGAATAATCAGGGAGATAAACAATACAGGGACTGTTGGGAGTGAATAGATTCCTGCAGGGGACCCTGAGAGTTTGTCTAGACTGCAATAAAACAGCTGCAGGTAGCCCAAGTCAGCTGACTTTGTCTCAAGGGGCTTAGAACATAAGTACGGCAATACTGGGTCAGACCAAAGGTCTATCTAGCCCTGTAGCTTATCTTCTCACAGTGGCCAATGCCAGGTACCCCAGAAGGAATTAATAGAACAGGTAATCATCATTTGATCCATTCCCAACTTCTGTCAAGCAGAGGCTAGGGACAGCATCCCTGCCCATCCTGGCTAATAGCCATAGATGGCTCTATCCTCCATGAATTTATCTAGTGGTGGTTTTTGTATTTTTTTTGTTTGTTTTTTTTTTAAACTGTGGCCTTCACAACATCCTTTGGCAAAGAGTTCTACAGGTTGACTGCATTGTGTGAAGAAATACTTCCTTTTTTTGTTTTTAAACCTGCTGCCTATTAATTCCTTGGGCTGTAGAGCTATAAAATTGCAGTGTAGACATTCCAGCTTGGGCTGGAGCCGGAGCTCTGGGACCCTCATCCCTGGGCAGAAGAAAAAGGAAACTGAGGGTATGTCTACACTGCAAACAAAAACCTGTGCTGGCCTGTGCCAGCTGACTTGGCTCCCAGAGCATGGGCTGTGGGGCTGTCTAATAGCAGTGTAGACTTCTGGGCTCAGTCTTCAGCCCAAGCTCTGGGACCCTCCCACCTCAGCCATATGAGGCTCTGGATAGTGTACATATGAAAAAGACCTAATCCCTACCATCCATTGGGCCCATCAGATATTGGTGAGTTTAGCAACCAAACAGAGAGGACTTCCACCCTTCATCTCATTTAGAGGTCCCAAGCTGGTGTCATCCAATGCTAAAATTAGGGGGAAGATGATAATAGGAAAAAAATCTAATGGAATGTACCATACTCCTATATATATCTCCTCATTAATAATGAAGAATGAGATCACACCATTTACTCCTTTCCAACTGCTATACAATCTACCAAGTACTCTAATTTGGCCCAGAGGCCCTTGCAGTGTCTGAAGTGCCAAACTCCTCAAATTTTGTAGAGAGTTATAGTATTTCCCCAGACCAGCATCTACACCATGTGACTTCCTAATGACCCACCAAAGATGTAATGAGGCAAAAATGGAACAAAGAAGTGGTAATAAATATTTCATCACCACAGTGAAACACAGCAACATGAGAGATTGATTCTTTAATCTTAAACCTCCAATTATGTCTTGTTCAACAAAAAATGATCTTTAGGATGCATTGGTCACTTCAAAGACTTTACAAAATTAAAGCTATTCCCAGTAATGGATGTTGGCAGTGAGGGGAAGAAGGAGGTATGCCCTATTGCTTCAGACTTCTGGGATGGCAACAAAACCAGAATTAACATGATTCTAGAAACTTCACTCAACCTCAAAGCAGGTACCTGCATACTGGGTCATATACACAGCAATTGGAGACAATTGCCACTGTACCAAAGGGGCTGGCTGGTTGTGAGATGTTGTTTTACTACATTGGAAAAGTAAATCTCCACCTACACCCTAAAGGCATGAAGGCTGGTATAATAGAGCTAGCTGTAAAGGAGAGGACCACATACAACAATTGGCAAACCCTGGGGAAAAATAGCATACTTGGAATGGTTTTTCTAGACCTGGTCAACTAAATATCCTTGCAGGAGGCCTGGTTGAAAGGTGTGAGATAAATCCACACTCTTTTCTCCCCCCCCCCACCTTTTCCCTCTTGATTTGGGTTTCCTTAATTTTTTAAATCTTTTTGTTTTGATATGTGCCATAAAAATCCACATGTTGGGAATATTGCAGTTAATAAATGGGACTCCAAACACAGTGTAAATGTCTTAGGGGGCAAAAACCCCCAAAACCCTAATGCATAGGGGGGTTTTAACTTATTTTAGATGTTGACACCTAGTACATTTTTTGTTTTGTTATAAGAAACAAATGATTGAAAGTTTAATAATTTTTAAAAACCTACAGTAAGGCATAGGTGTGATGGGTTTGGTCACAGAGTTCCCCTTGGGACTGTCACCTGATGTGCTGAAATTACCTCTGAGCCCATTTTCTCCGTCAACTTGGGACTTCCAGGACCCTGCCTTGTTGAGCCAGACATGCTAGCCTGCTGCAACACAGACCCAGGGTCTGGGCCATGCCACCAAAGCTGCAGACTTTAACTGTAAACAGTGCAGCAGGTTACCTGTCTCCAGCACCCAGTTCCCAATGGGATCTAAACCCCAAATAAACTCATAAATTGTCCACCCTCTATAACACTGACAGAGAGATGTGTAGCTGTTTGCTCCTCCAGCTATTAATCAGTTACTCTGTGTTTATTAAGTATAAAAAGTAGGATTAAAGTGGTTTCAAGTAATAGACAACAAAGTAAGTCATGAAGCAAAATGAAATAGAACACGCAAGTCTAAGTCTAATACATTAAGAAACTGATTACAGGTAATATCTCACCCTCAAAGATGTTCCAATAAGCTTCTTTCACAGACTAGGTTCCTTCCTAGTCTGGGCCCAATCCTTTCCCCGGTACAATCCTTGTTAGTTCCTGCAGACATCTCAGGTGGTAAGTAGGGTGTGACATTACTGGGACTGTATAGACCATTGTTGCAACCAAGGTCCTGTAGTGGCACTAAATTTGTATGAAGGAGTTCAAATAAGGTGCTTATGACAAGGTTATGATTTGCTGGTTATGATTATGCTATCTGTATGCATGTATCATTTTTATATTAAAAGTTATAAATATTAGCTCTATACTGTCTGTATTTCGAAATTGTGCTATGCTTCTGGGTGACACCCTAGACAATTTGGCATCAGCACTGCCTAGCCTGCGTGATGGCCTATTAAGGACCATCAGCTATACAACTGAGCATTGAGAGAAGGCAAATACACCTTGTGACTCAGCAAGACATGCAGGGACATGCCAATCGACAGAACTCTAAGGTTTTTCCATGCCATGTGCTGGATAGCTTGCCTTTGGAGCAAAGAAAGCAGAGGCCACATGGCAAGAGAATATAAAAGGCTGCTGCAGGTCCTCCATCTTGTCTTCAATCCTGCTTCTTATTTCTGGAGGAACCTTGCTACAAACTGAAGCTCTGAAAAAAGGACTGAATGACCCATCCCAGCTGTGGATGTTCTCCAGAGACTTTATTTGCACCTGCAGTTTATTCCATCACTGCTACAAGCTTGAACCAAGAACTTTGACATTACTGTATCTAATTGATTCCGTTTAACCAATTCTAGCTCTCATCTATAATTCTTTCTTTTATAAATAAACCTTAGATTTTAGATTCTAAAGGATTGGCATCAGTGTGATTTGTGGGTAAGATCTGACTTGTATATTGACCTGGGTCTGGGGCTTGGTTCTTTGGGATTGGGAGAACGTTTTTTCTTTTACTGGGGTATTGGTTTTCATAACCATTCACCCCCATAATGAATAGCACTGGGAAACTGTAGTGTCTAAGGGAATTGCTTATATGACTTATGGTTAGCCAGTGGGGTGAGACCGAAGTCCTCTCTGTTTGGTTGGCTTGGTGTGCCTTAATGGTGGAAAACCACTAACCTGGGGCTGTGACTTCCCTGCTCTAAGCAATTTGTTCTGAATTGATACTCTCAGTTGTGTCCCACCAGAGGCAGCATCATTACACAGGGGGTTTTCTCATGACTGGCAGCCCCTTTTGTCATGCTTCACTCCTTTTATAGCTTTGGCACAAGGTGGGAATCTTTTGTCTGTGCTTGTCCCCACCCCCATCTCATCAATGGAAAAGTACCAGGATTAAGATGGATTCCAACATCATGTGACATGGTCGCATGTCATTGTAAGACCCCTAGTCTCCATTCCTCCTAGGTTGGCCCACAGGTATGTAGGAAGGTTTGCAGGTAAATAAACAATTTACAACCAATTGTCTGGGTCGCTCAAATAAATTGGTTAGTCTCTAAGGTGCCACAAGTACTCCTTTTCTTTTTGCGAATACAGACTAACACGGCTGTTACTCTGAAACCTATCAAGATTCTAAACCACCATTAAAGACCCACACTTTGCATAATTACGATAGGACTTCAGAGTTATACTTCATATCTCTAGTTTCAGATACAAGAATGATACATGCATACAAATAGGAGGAATATGTTCAGTAATTTATAATATTTATGATACCTTACAAGAGACCTTTTGCATAAAACATATTCCAGTTAAATCATATTCATACTCATAAGCATATTTCAATAAAACATATGGAGTGCAACATCACAATAGGACCATAAAACAAAGAAAACAGGATGATATTAAAGACATTAGGTGGAATGAGATTAGTGGAAATCTTGCCATTTACTTCAATGGGGCCAGAATTTCATACACTTATTTTAGGATTTTGCTTAAAAGAACATAGTTATTATATTTTCTTATTTAAAATCTTGTTTTTCTACCATATTGTCTAGTAAAACTTTAGAATTTAGATAAAATTGTTCCTTACCTTTCCCTCCATTGGATGTGCATACTAATTTGTTATCATAGGGTTGATTAGGAGCAGGCTGGTAACCATAACTTCAAAAATGTCCCTATATGTGAAGAGCTTTCATTTGCTAATATTGCGAAGAATGTGTGAATTGCCTTGCTGGATCAATCCCTGGAGGGTTATTTTCAAGGTTGAGATCCTTCCCTGAAAGATCATAAGGAATCTCTGAATCCCACCCTGCAGGCAATGGGTTCCTTTCAGCTGCCTCCAATGTATGCATATGCATCAGAGATGCCAAAGGGAAGGACTTTGAACCCGGCTTTGTTATTCACAGTTCACAAATAGCAAATATGAGACATATTATATACAACTAAAACATATAGTCAAGCTGTTTATTAAATATATATTTCACATACTTTCATTGCTATTCAAGCAGTTGTAAAATCACCTTTTGTTGATGACCCCATCTGCCAGTTAGCTGCTGTAAACAGGTCTTCCTAGCTGTCTCATCAGAGTTTTGATTCAAATTATAACATACAATTTGTGGTCCACACAGAGCCCCGCCTCAGTCCATTCCTCTAGTCTTCCACAAGACACCACGTTCTCCCGGTACAACCCAGGAACAGCCTTACATATGCATGCTGAACATATAGACACCTAGTACACTACACACCTTCACAAGATGGCCTAAAACCACCATGGTGCCTGATATAGGCCATGGGAGGGGAGGCAAGGAAGTGACTATATCATTATTATTCATATTAATAAGTGGGAAAACACAAATGTCCCTCATATTTAAATTAGAGGACTTCTCCCAGCAGCAAGGAGAGGATAAGTAAGGGTAACAAGGCAATTATGCAAATGATACATCATTGAAGGGCTTGTACAGCCCACCTATTTCTAGGGCATCATAATTATGTGTAGTGCTTTTACAGAGAAGAAGTCCTGAATTTCCTACAGAACTTGGCTGTTGTCCTTGCTGTTACCTCCACCAAAGTGCTGCCCCAACCTGTCACTTCACCTGAGATCACCTGGGAAAACAAATTTTCTTTTATATGCATATTTATTTAAATTGATTACAGAATTATTTTAAAAAGTTAATTAAGCATGCCAACACACACAGAAATAAAACATAGCCATCTGAAGAGAAGATGGATGGGAATGATAGCTAGAAGAGGCTCTGCTATTTTATTTTTAGCCTGGGCCCTGTAAACCCTGCTCTTTGGGCTGATAGGGCAGACACTTTCCATTTTTCCTAAAACAAGACAGGAATCCCCCAGTTTGAGGTTTTTTCTTAGTAATTCTCCAGTGTTTGAGTTGAGGTAAAAAGTGAGAAAATATGTTTCTTCTTCGTTCTTCTTCTACCTGAAGTTATTACATCCCCACTTATACTCCCCCCTCACTAACTCCAGCACTGTGTGGGGGGAGTGGTCTGAATTAGAGGCATGATCTAGAACTATGAGCATATAAAGGAGAGCCAGAAACTCCAGAATGCTAATTCTAACTCTGAAACCTATTTCCTCTGTGGCTTTGGACTAAGTCATTTAACATCTTGTTAATTTCTTTATATCTAAAATAAGGATCATATAACTTACCTACCAACTTGGTAAGTTATGAGGAGTAATTAACTAATGTTTGGAAAGCAAGCTAAAGACTATATTATAGTTGTTTGTTGCGTCTTTCCAGTGGTGCCCACATTGTGCCGAATGCTATCTAAACACTATAGAAGACATATGCCCTGCTCAAAAGAGCTATTAATATTATTTCTCAGTGCAATGTTTGAGATGATTAGTCTCATTTTCCTGGTTGCTGGGTTATGTACAGCTGATAGTAATTTGACCAGTAGCAATTTCTGTGCTATAAAAACACTGCTGCAGTTCATACAATACCTTCCAGCACTGGCTCAAATCGTTAAATGAATTTGCGTATATATCATAGAGTCTGCATTGTTTTTTTGGGTTTTTTTTTTTTTTTGCAATAAACCTTTTAAAATCGAATCTTGTGTATAACAATTTCTACTTTTGTTTTTTGTCTTTTTCTATTTTTTCAGTAAAATATTTTAAAATTCATTAACATAAGAAATGCATAAGCATGTGTAACTTTGACAAGTGAAACCTATCAAAACCACAGAGTCAGAGTATATAATAATGAATGCATATTGACTGTTGAATAGCAAAAATGATGCTGTTAAAATACTGCAAGCCTTTGCAGAAAAATAATGGCATTAGTGTGACTCTCAGGCTTCTGTAGGAACCATTATACAATGCAAACAGTTAAGAAACTTACACATCTTGAAATCTTTAAATGTCTCCAAGGCAGACTGTTGATTGGTTGTCTTGCTCCCACAGTCTATACATTTAGCTGGAAAAGTTGTTATAATCATCAGAGCCTTTGGGTTACTAGTTGTTGAAAGAATATAGTAATTTTAAAATTTAAGCTTGTTGAATAATTTACCTTTGCTATTAGCATTATGTGCGGCTGTTGCTCAAATGAGAAATGAATACAACTGCTTCCTAGAGCTACCTCTACTACAGACATATCCTCCATTCTGATGTCAGATCTGCACATGAATTAGCACCAGATAATAGAATAAGTTATGCACTTCAGAGCCACACAGCAGTCTCTCTGTCTGGATTCCTGATCTGCATAGACTAAGGGCCTGATCCAAAGCCCACTGAAATCTAATGAAAAGCTATTGACTCTATTGAGCTTTGGATCAGCACTGAGTGAACAATGGAACAAGTTTTCATAGATTGTTTTGCTTGGAAAAAAACTGAAAAATAATTTAATACATTTGATGCCAAATATGTTCACAAATTATTTCACTAGCTCTGTAAAAGGGGTGAATAATGACAACACTTTTATTGAAAAAATATTGTCACATACATTTTTCAATTAATATTATTCATAGAACATTGTTTGGAAAAATGCTGCAAAATTCACTAAATAATTGATAGGCCACATATGCACAGATTATGAGACCTGCTCTATAAAATGGGTGACTAATGAAATAATTGTCAGATATTTTAGTTAAAAAAAGATTGCAAAGATTGTTGCATGAATTATTCAAGAAATATTATTTCACTGGTTCCAGCTGGGACACACACCCTCCGAAAAGCATGTTTGATTGATTATGCATGCCTAGTGTGACCGTGAGGGGGGTGGGAATGAAGTGTGGATTGTAAAATGTGTGAGATTTTAACTCCACACATACTTTCTACTTATTTCTCTTCTTTCATCTAACTCCTACCCCAGTTCAGTGAAGTACTTAAAGACATGCATAACTTTGTAAGCACCTGGGTATCTAAATCTTTAAGGCCATCGGATAAGGGAATGTCACCAGTAAGAATTACAACTCAGGAGTTCCTGGTTCACAGTCACAAACACCATTAGACCATTCCCCTCTCTCTTGTTACAGTTTCAGGATTAAAATACACTAGAAATATCCCCATTCAATGATGATTAACCTTGTATAATTAGTTTTTGAGATCTTTCTTAGTCAGTTTTTAATCCATTTCAGTATGTGTTACACTGATTTTGTAAAGTGATCCTTATTTTTAATTTAAAATGTTGTGTGGCTCTAGCCATTTCAAATACAGACGTTTAATATGTTAATACGTTACTGATTGCATCCCATATCAGCTGTTCCATGATTTTTGTCTGAGATTGATGTCAGGCAAACCAGTCTATAAGTACTCAGGTCATCCCATTATTAAATAATGGCAGAATATTAGCTTGTTATTCCCCCATATTCCAAGTTTCAGTCATTACAGCTAACGGGTCTGGGTAACTGCCCAAAACTGCACAGGAAAAAGCAAAAACCTATAAGAATATAAGACAACTGATTTACTTAAATCTGTAAATTCTCCAGGGCAGGGACTGTCTTTTTGTCACATGTTTGTACAGCATCTAGCATAATGACCTGGAGCCAGATTTTTAAAGGTAGATACCTAAGGTGCAGATAGTCACTGAGTGAGGATTCCAAATGTATTTAAGCACCACCACTGAGTGGGCTTCATTGTGTGGTTAAGCAGCATGATTTCTGTCTGATAGAATAATTGGTAGGTAAATATTGTATAATTGTCTATTTCTTTTGTGTCTGAAGTTTCATGTGTGCATGTTTGCATGAAATGCTGGTTCCCATTCACCTCAGATTTGGTTAATGAATGAGCAGAACCTTCAGAGACTGAGTTGGGAAGTGACTTAAGGCAATTTCTCTTTTATGATTCCCCCCTCCCATACCCGTTTTTATTTTGTTTTACATTTTTTAAGATCGAGCAATGTTACATATTAATATCTTATGGCAGTCAGCTAATGAGTTGAAACTTCTCTGAGATATAGGATGCACGCAAAGGAAACGTGTGAAAGAGCCTATATGTCAGAGTAAGCAAAACATTGCACCAAAAAGCACAGTCTGACAGTAATTGCAAAGCACTGTTAGCATGCTCCCAGGGAACTCAGTGGGCAGAATATTTTTATTTAAACGATCATTTATAAAGTTACAAAGTTAACAAGAAAAAACAAAATTTTAAAAATGCTTTTTAGTTTTCTTGACTGGCCAGAGCTAATCATACTGGGAAGTTGGGTGCTGTTTGCCACTCATTTCATTTCCATTACAACACAGTAACAGCAAATTTACATAATGTGAAGTTAATAAATAAGATGTCTTTCTTTTCTAGAGACACTTATGAAGTTTTCATTTCACCCCCTCATAATAAGCTTCCTCAATACATAACCACGATAGAGCTATCTTAACAACCTTGTCATTTCAATTTTTCACACATTTCCTTTGTGTGTGTCCTATATCTCAGAGAAGTTTCAACTCATTAGTTGACTGCCATAAGCTATTAGTCTGTAACATTGCTTGGTCTTAAAAAATGTAAAACAAAAACAAAACAAAAAAAGAGAAAATCAAAAAAGAGAAATTGCTTAGAGTCATTTCCGGACTCTGGGGCTCTGTAGGTTCTGCTTGTTTGTTAACCAAATCTGAGCTGAAACGGGAACCACCATCTCATGGAAAAAACAAAAACAGTGTTCTCATTGTCAACCTGAGATTACATTCTTCTGTTACTACTTTTGTAAATAGGCCAATATAATTGGCCCCAATTTTTGATTGAGGTCTGTAGGCACAATTGTTATACAAATAACAGTACACTCAAAAGAAAGAGAGATTCTATTTCAGAGCTCTGTGTTTGGAAGTAAGAATATTCTTGTGATTAAAGCATTAGGCTGGGTTTCAGGAGATCTGAGTTTTGTTCCTAGCCACAGACTTCCTTGGGCAGCTCAGTTAATCTCTCTCTGCCCCAGTTCTCAAACTACTACTTGTATGTTGTATTCCTTTCTGCCACCCACAGGGGGGTCTTGTCTATTTGGAAAGGTAAAGTCTACAGGTACTGCCTTAGTATATGACTGTACAATGTCTAATGGTGTTTGTGGTCTCTAGGTGCTACTAGAAGAGCAAGAGCCAGGTGCTACACAAGAACAAGGGCATATTCAATAAAATTAAAAGGTGGAAACTTCATAACTGATAAGAAAATATTTGTTCACACATTGTTAGATTGAAACTCACCGTCACAAGAATTAACTGGGGCAAGGAACTTAGTAGAATTCAGAAAGGGATTGGACATTAATATAGAGCCCTGCACAGATACAAAATTTATATCTGGAGATATAAATCAGCACCCGCAGAACCGCAGGGCTCTCCCAGGAAACACAGTAGCGAAAGGAGCAGAACATGGGGCCACCGCTCCCAGGAGCCAGCACCCCATGCCTGTAGCTTCTCCGGCACGGACTGTCCCAGCCCTGCCCACTGGGTGGGCACCAGGCTCACCGGCAGCTGTCCCTGGTCGTGTGTTTATGTTCAAGCAGAGTGCGCTCCCCCAGTCAGGAGATACAGACAGCTGCATGGCGTGGATGGGGGCAGGGATGGGGGTGGGGCTTCGGGCAGTACAGCAGCACCAGAGGAGCTGTGAGCACTGGGCATTGTCATATGCAGCTACCAGGAGTCAATCTTCAAAAGTTCAAGAGCTGGGGCGTACCTTCCAGGACTTGTGGTTTCAGCCCCACAGGAGGCACCTGCCAGGGTTCAGTGGTTCAGCTCCACTCCTACTGAAGCCCCAAACCCCAGCAGGCTCGCCCCATGGAGCTGAAGCCCCAAAACCTTCCCTCCCCCTGGGCAGAAGCCAGAGGTGACATGTCTGGGGGGCTCATGGGGCTGCTGGCCCCATCCCTGCAGAGCAGCTGTTGAAGCTGACAAACTGGGAGTTGCGAGAGAGGCAGAGGCAAACAGCTGGGGGCTGTAGGGAGAGCCACTGCTTTTCCTGTTGCCTTTCCCCATAGAACTGAAGCAGCGACCCCTCCCTGCATCTTCCAGCTGTTTGCCGCCACCTCTCCATGCAGAGCTAACACCTGGGAGCTGCAGGGAGGGGCCTAGGGTGACCAGATGTCCTAATTTTTATAGGGACAGTCCCAATATTTGGGGATTTTTCTTATATAGGTTCCTATTACCCCCCCCCCATACACACACACACACACACACACACAATCCCTGTCCCAATTTTTCACACTTGCTATCTGGTCAGCCTGGAGGGGCCACTGAGGGTAAGGGTGTTTGTGCTGCGGGGGGGTGTGACTCAAGCTATTGGGGGGGACATTTAAATGGTCCCCCACAACTCTCAGCAGACACCAGTTGTTTCTGGCAAAAATGTCTATCCTCACCACCCTCCTGCAGGGCAGAAACCCTGATCTCCCCCCTCCCAATCTGGTAGGCAGAGAATGGGTGGGGGAGGTGTCCACGAGCCAGACTTTAACTGTAAAAGAGCCACGTGATATAGATAATAAGAATATCTAAAGTTATCATGATGCCAATTAATGAAAAGATTGGAAGGGATATATAAGATGTGGTTTGTAGAATGTATATTTTAGATGTAGGGACAGCTGGCTTGTCCGTTGGAGGGAGAACAGCCACCTGATCATGTAAACAACTGAGTTAGTAAACTAAACTTAGTGTATATACAGGAAAGTGTATATACAGTACATAGTAACTTTGTAACGGTGTATTTAAGGCGAGCACCTGAATGTGGGTGCACACATGCATTTAACCCTATGCTGTACCTGTTTCGTTGGACTGATCACTCACTGAAGCAAATAAATGACATCCTACTTCAGCTCGAGTCTGTGCATTCTGGGTAGTGAGGAAAAGAACTGGTCAACAGGATATTAACCTCATACTTCAGGACTTAAAACAATCTCTAACTATTGGAGATTAGGATGAGATTGGTACAGCTTCAGGGTAACTGAACTTGCATTTCCCCCACCCCCCCACCCCTCCCTTGAGGGCATCCACTTAAGGTTTGAGGTCCCAGCTGTGCCATCTATTGAAGGAGACCTATGTTTCTTTCTTTCCAGATCATGCATTTTTAAGACTAGGGGCTTGCCCACACTACTGCGTGGGCTTGATCTAAGTTACTCAACTTCAGCTATGTGAATAGCGTAGCTGAAGTGGACGAACTTAGATCTACTTACCTCA